TAGGCTGAAGCTAACCAAAAATAAAAAAATAAGAATAGAAAGGGTAATATGCAACAATTGTTTGGAATGTTTTGGTATCATTTTGTATTGATTATGTTCGAAGAGTAAAAAAAAAAAGTTAATATGCAACACTTAAAGGCTAATGTATCATATATACAAATCCAAAAAAAGGGACAAAAGAATGATAGATGTAATTTATGTTATAAGCATGGATGCTATGAGAAACAGAAGGCTTGGTTCAAAAAGAATGTTAAGCCTAGTTTTTTTTGTATGTTTCAAATAAAATATTGTCAAAATGCCATATAATACTTGGCAGATTGATTATGGTTGTACTATTTATATTTCAAATATGATTTGTGGTTTTCTTATAACCCAAATTTTAAAGCCATGGGAAATTGAGTTAAAGCTTCAGTTGAAGCCATTATAACACAATGTTTGTTTTTGGACACTGAGTGCCATTTATATCTTTTTCAAATATTATATGTTCCTTTTGTTTTTTTAGAAATTTAGTTTATTTATTTAAACTTCATACAATTGGGTATTTTTTAAAGAGAAAAGGGCTAAAATGGTCCATCAATTCTTTGTGAGAGATCAAAATGGTTCCAAACTATTTTGAGGGACTAATGTAGTCCCTCAACTCCTCCAAATGGGATTTTTTTGGTCGTGCCGTTAATTTTAAATAGAAAAGTGAGATGGGCTCGAGGGTATTATCAAAATAAGTAAAGAATATTTTAAGAGATTGCGTTGTAGCCTAGAACAGTGTATTAGTGAATCATCATGGCGCAACTAAACAACCACTCCCTCAGGATTGATGCTTCTTTTCAATCGTGTCTCATAGCGTTGATCCTGCAGTCCATCCCTAGAGCATTGATTGTGCTGACCCCACAGTCCCGTAGCATTGATCCTGCAGACGATCGCCAGCATTCGTCAATCATTGTCGATTTGGTCGAAGAAGCACACCAAAAGAAGAAAGATGGCTACCTTCGCAACGAGCAAGCTCCCATCGTCGTAGTTACTTTCGATTGAACATACGAATGACGAAGTGTGATTTCGGATCCTACAGATAGGAACGTTGTTGAAGGAGGCGAAGCTGAGAGCAATGAACTGTGGAGAAGGGGAAAAATAAACCTAGCAAATCTATGGAATCAGGGCATGGAAATAAAATAGTAAGAGAATTAGTAAAAATATATTCATCAAGAAAATGAAAAAATAGAAATATAGCTTAAGAATAAATTAATTTAATTTAATTAAATCGAATTATAATATAATATAATTAATAAATAGTTAATTAATTAAATTAATTGATAATTAATTTAAATTTTAATTATATTATTTATATTGATTATTTGGTTACAATAATTAAAGTTAATAATTAAAACTAAAATTTTGAAATTATTAAAGCTAAAATTTTTTATATTTTTTTCATATATCACAAAAAAAAAGGACAAAGATTACTAAATAGTAAATTTCTTCCTAATTTGGATTTTATTGATTTGGGTATTTTACTATTTATATGGATTGTTTTAAGAGAAAACACACAAAACATAATTAAAAAAATAGCCACTAGAAGTACTTAGATTCTAAAAATTACACACACTTACATATATATATATATATATATTATATACCTTTTAATATTTCATGTTTTGGTGGAGAAAAGTTTTTTGTTACTATTATTGATGAGTTTTCATTTTATGGCTATGTCTATTTGTTGCATAAAAATTTTTAATTAGTAGATATCTTAGAGGTGTTTGTAAATGAGATTGAGGGCAACTGGACAGATGAGTGAAATTCATCATTGCTAGATGTGATGAATCTTATGAAATGTTTGATGATTCTGGATCATGCTCTAGCTTATTTGCTAAATTCTTGAAAAAGTGAGTTATGTGCCAATACACAATACGCATACAATAAAATAGTGTTGCAGAAAGGTATAATCATACTTTAATGAAAATGCTTAGGAGTATATTAGGTCTTAATTTCTTCTTTATTCTTATCATTGTGGATGCCTATTTTGAAAACCTCCATATGTTAAATATGGTTCCTATTAACGTACTTTCAAAGAATCCTTTTGAACAGAAGGAAACCCAGTTTTAGGCATTTGCATTTTTTGTTTTGCCTAGTGGAAATAAAAATTTATAATTCATATGAAAATTAACTGGACTCAAGAACAACTAACAGATTTTTTATTAGTATTCCTAAAAAATTCTATGGCTATAGATTTTATTGTCATGGCCATAGTACAAGAACTGTTGTAACAAGAAATACCAGGTTTATTAAGAATGTTGAAATTAGTGGGAGTAAAGAATCACATAATGTGAATAAGAAGTCAAGGTAACATTTTTTTTACCCATTGCTTATTCTCAAGTTGTTGTTCCTATGATTGTTGAATAATTTGACGGCTTACAAGACGAATAAATGAATGACCAAACATCCTATGATGAGATTATTCACAATGAACTTATAATTGATGAACTATGAGAAGTAGATATGTTATTTGAAATGACTGTGATTTATCTATAAGAATCAGAAGTTCACTTAGGAATTGATGAGGATCCTGTGTCATTTTCACTAGCTATAGCCTACGAAGAATTAATTCTGCCAAGTAGTTTGACATTATAAAAGAAGAGTTGAAATCATTAGATTACAATGAAGTCTGAGATCTTCTTGAATTGCCTAAAAATTCAAAAATTGTTGGGTGTAGTGGGACTTGACAATCAAATGTGACTCAAATGACAATATCCAATGATAAAAGGCTAGACTTGTTACCGAAAGTTTCACTCAAAATAATAGTGTTAACTATAGAGAGATATTTTCTCTTGTCCAGGAAAGGACCCATTTAGAATTATTCTTATGATTTGAATTACATCAAATGGATGTGAAAATTATTTTTCTGAATGGAGCTTTATAGGAAAAAGTTTATATGGATCAACTTGAAGGCTTATCAATTGAAATAGAAGGCACATGTGTGTAAACTTAAGAGTTCAATATACATATTTAAATAAGCTTTCCGATAATGATATTTAAGTTCAGTGATACTATTATTTTCTTTGAATTTAAATAAAACACCATTGACTGGTGTATATCTGATGGTCAATGGGGGCAATCTTATATTTATGATTTGATTTCTTGCTTGCTACTAATGATATTAGTTTATTACGTGAGACCAAGAAAAATTTGTCCAATAAATTTTAAATAAAAATATGGGTGAACATCCTATGTGATAGGAATTGAAGTGTTTTATGACAAGTTTCAAGGACTGTTTGAGTTGTCTCAAAAAAACATATGATAACAAGATTTAGAGACTTAAGATTAAGTGCTTTGCAAGTGTTGTTCCAATTTAGAAAGAATATTAATTGAGCCTTATGCCATGCCTAAAGAATGAATTGGAGCACAAACTAATGGAACAAATTCCTTGTGCATTTATTGTGGGGAGTTTGATGCATGTTCAAACTTATACAAAGCCAGATATTAGTTTTGTTATTGGAATGCTAGGCAAGTATCAAAGCAATCCATAACTTCATCATTGGAAAGCTGTGAAGGAAGTTTTGCAATATCTGTAATAAAAGAAATAATGCATGCTCACTTATAGGAGGTTTTGATCTCTTTGAGGCGTTAGGATGTTCATATTTAGATTTTGCTGGCAGCATGGGTACTATAAAATTCACATTCGACTATTTGTTCCTTTTAGCTGAAAAAGCGGTCTCTTGGATGAATGCAAAGTAGTTTATCATTGTTATATCCATTATGGAAGCTGAGTTCGTGGCATTTTTTAAAGCCACACTATTTATGGATTATGGATGAGGAATTTTATTGCAATATTTGGAGTAGATGACAATATAATCAAGCTTATGCAAATTTATTATGATAATGTCGTACCGATCTTTTTTTTCAAGAATGAAAAATATTCAAATGGTACTAAATACATGAAATTGAAATACTTTGCATTTAAAGAAGTTTATAAACAAAAAGTTCATTGAGCACATTAACAATAGTCTTATGGTTAAATATTTATTAATCAAACCGTTGCCATCAAAGACATTTAATCTAGGATGCACGGACACGACACGGACACGGGACACGACATTTTTTAAAAATTTACAAAGAACCTTCTAGTTTTCTCTAGTTTCCTACCTAAAGTATTATATATATATATATATATATATATATATATATTATGATATATGAAATTATGTGAATATTAATAGGATTTGTGTCTTACAAAAGACATTTTTGTTGGATCATTATGATTATGTCTCGTTGCAAGTCATGTTAAGCATAAAATTAATATTATGATATATGGAAGGAATTATATTGCAGGAATGATACACAACTGCCATAATCCCTATTGGTTTTTGCTTGATGCTGAATTTATGATTTTTCTAATTTAAGAAAACTTTTAACTCATATTTCTTATTATGTTTATTAATATTAGAACATTCAATTGAATGATATCGCATGGGCCAAATAGAGAATGCTAGAAATAGTTTTACTAAGTGGCTTATGTTTTTCTCTTTAAATTTAGTTATGGTTTAATAATTAATTGTACGTCAAAATCTTTTTGATCAAAAGAGATAATTCATCAAATATTTATGAATTGTTTGATTAAATTGACAATTTACAACTTCCGTGCTCTTTCTATCCATAAGAAACTAACTGCAACAAGAAAAAGAAAGGGGATAGTGAGAGAAATCAATTTTATCAAATTTTTTGATCAAATTCATGAAGAAGATCACCATGAATCAATATATGTTTTCTTCAAATTAATGTTTTGTGAAAATTATCTTGGTCAAGATCTTAGGTACATAATTTTATGCAGAAAATTAAATTTTGATTTACATAATTAAGAAAATTCTTTCATGAATGGAGAAAGTTCTTACACTGAATCGACTGTATCTACTCCTGACTATCAACAAGTGTTTTGAATCCAAGAACTCTGTCTGTAATGTAGAATCCTTTAAACCTTATACTTAATGTTAAATGAATTGTTTGTTCTGCAGGCTCAATCTGAATGCACTTGTTGACCACTTGAAAATGGCTTTGGATTGCTTTTTTGCTGTATGGTTTGTTGTTGGAAATGTTTGGCTATTTGGTGGCCGCACATCTGCTTCTGATGCTCCGAACTTATACAGGTACTTTCGTTATTAATTTGTTAATAACACCTCACAATTCAATAAACAAAGTGGGGAGTTCATATAGGTTTTTTGAATTGACCTTGATTTATTTATTTAGTCTTGTCTAATTTCAAATTTTATTAATTATTTGTGATACTAAATATATTCTTATCTTTCTCCTCACACACTTACCAGGAGCCTTAGCCATTACCGGCTCGTTCCTAAACTCTCTCACTTCATCCTGACGCCTCCCTTAACTTGATTTATTCTTGAAAGCTTCTAGTCCTTCCTTCATTACATGTAGTTATTATTATATGTTTAGTCATAAGCAATAGAAAATTTTACCATTGTTAGATGTTTTGCAAAATGATAACGAAATTGAAGGATTTCAGTAGATTTCTGGTTACATTCAGATATAGTATTTCAATAATCAAGTACTGCAAGAATATAACCAGATTGAGGGAGGAAAAACATGGAAGAAATAAGTGAATTGAGAAATAAATATAATCTGAGGGCTAGTAGAATAATAGATACCATTTGAAATTATATCACTACAAAATACATGAAGATCAACTCAAGAACAGTAGATGAATTTCTCCAAAGTAATTTCTCCTTTTCTTTTCCTGTAAGCCATACCATCATGCTGAGATAGTGATTCCCTTGAATTTCCAGGTTATGCATAGTCTTCCTTACTTTCAGCTGCATTGGATATGCTATGCCGTTTATCCTATGTGCTATGATATGCTGCTGCTTGCCTTGCATAATTTCAATCATGGGCTTGAGGGAGGAGATGATTCTGACAAGAGGAGCCTCTACAGAATCCATTAATGCTCTGCCAACTTATAAGTTCAAAGCAAAGAGAATACAGAGTGCGGATGAAGGTGATATTGATTCAGATGGTGAGGGTGGAATTGTAGCTGCTGGAACTGATAAGGAACGAATCATCTCAGCTGAAGATGCTGTGAGTTGCACTTACCTTCTTTATTCATTTATTTATTTTTGTTTATCTCAGTTTCTTTAGTTTAGAATAAGTGTGTGAAAGCTGTGGTCTTGTTCAGAGTGAAACACAAATGAGCTAATTATCTTTCTTCGGTTTGCTAATTATTGAGCCAAATATGAGGAATCAAAAAGTTATTTAATTGAAAAAAATGTTTTTTTTCACATTTCTAGGACTTTGTAAGTCTCATACAAATTAAAGCATGTATTATTTAATATCAGTATAAAGTACATGAGTGAAAATGAATTGTATATATAAATTATATCTATTGAGTTCTGATATAATCAAATATACTTGAGCTATTTTATTAAATGAGCAAAAATAGCTTCAAATTCAACTCATTTGCTTAACAAGTGAGTTCTATATAAGTTATTTGTACACGTCAAACTTAACAGACCAAGAATTGGTGCAGGTGTGCTGCATATGCCTCACAAAATATGTTGATAATGACGACCTCCGTGAGCTTCCATGTGGCCATTTCTTCCACACGGAATGCGTTGATAAATGGCTCAAGATTAACGCTCTGTGCCCTCTTTGCAAGAAGGAAGTAGGAAACACCACTTCTTCATCATCCGCTAACCCTAGCCGTGACCATATTGAGAGCAGAATGGCAAATCATGCAGACCAACGGCAGGAATCACAGTAGGTCAAGGGTTTGAAACTTTTTCCCCAGCTTTTGGAGATGATGATGAAAAGCTTCCACCTGCTTCTCATTTGGTTGCTTTGAGATTGGCTTTTTAGCACATATATACATCATATAGTTGCAACCATGGTGTTATCTGTAGCCTCTCTTCTTGTGTTTTAGAAGAAGATGGCGATTCAAGTTGGTCATTTGTACAATATATACAAGAAGAATTTGTGCACCAATTTTTTTGGTTGGTGTCTCTCTAGAGTACTCATGGATGGATCTTCTGATCATTTTGTCTGGTGTAAGTTTGTGTATATGAATTTATTTTCAAATTTTATATTAATGGAGTTTCATATGTTGGATGCACCATATTTATCTGATTATAATAATGTATATCATTTGAGAATCTGCAACAGTGATGTCTTTTAGCAGCCATGGAAGCAAGATAAAAAAGCTTGGATAAAGTTTGCTGCTGGAAATGCAATTGTTGTTTTTTGTTGTATGAGTGAGATTTCGTTTAGGACAACTTTTGTACTGCTTTTAAGACTGTTTTTTTAATACAAAAAATTTAAATTTAAAAAAATTTTGTATTAGAAAGTTGTTTTAGAAAGCAAAAAAAATCCGTCCCAAACGAAACCCGAGTCTATGTTCTTTTTGTTTGTGAGATTTGATTAATATCCATCTCATCTTGATTTGTTGGTTGGTAGTTTTGATTATCAATCAAAGAGGTTTTAGGTTCGAGTCTTGTATATGTGAATTTGTCTTAATTGATATAAATGTCTTTAAAAAAGAGATTTGATTAATATTTTAGCTATGGGATGCGATATGTTATTTAATTTATATGTTATACTAAATGGTAATTGTCTATTTCATGAACCCAAGAAAAGTCTAGTTGTATTTCTCTTTGATATTTTAGAAATTTTGATTGAGGATATCTCATTCGATTTATAGCATGGACATAAGATTCATGTTGACCTCTAGAAATAATTATGTATTGTAATTTTCTTAAAATTATAGCTTTACATTATGAAAATTTCAAAGATTTAATATATATTTTTCAAAGATTTTTTTTTTTGACATAAAAACCGTACATATGACACTTAACCAAAAAAAAAAAAAAAAAAAAACAAAATAAAAACCGTACATATGACACTTAACAAAAAAAAAAAAAAAAAAGACCAAATATGATTCTCCATGTAATTTTCACTCAAATAATGCATCTTCTTCCCAAGCTACCCTTAGAAATCTCACAAATTGTGATAACAAACAATGTGTATGAGATTGCCTATCCTTATTAGATAAGAGAGATTATTCTTCTATTGGACTCAAGACTAACCCTATAAGCTATTCTTTTCGTGGTTTGAGGAAACACATGAAACTTTTCTTCTGATAAAGAAATAATTTATAGTATAGATGCTTTCGATTAGCTGTGTGGAAAAAATAACTGTGTGATCCAAATCTGTAGGGTTGGCTGTTGGTAGGCCCACCAAGGGATTAGTTATGCCGCCATAATATTAAAATAAAAAAATTGCATTTCATGAGATAGATCAATAATCTTTCATCAATGCCTTTTCACTTTGTTCCAAAATAAAAAATTCAAGTGAAGCTTTAAAAGATTATTTACAACTCTATTGTATAGGATTTTGAGGAATAATCAACAAGGTTCTTGCATTGAAGCCTTTACCCTCATCAAAATTGTACTCTCTTTTTTGTTTCTAAAATTCAATATTTGTAATGATAAAAATGAATGCATTGAAGTTGGTGTAGGAAGGAACCATCGTTGAATTAATATTGAAAGCGTTTATTTTTTTATTGTAAGTTTAGTGAATAAAAGCTACGTTGAAGGCATGTTGGCAATAACCATTATAATTCTTTAGTAGGATCAAAATTGTGTTATATATATTGTTTATTCTTATTATTCATATACTCAACTTTGTGTGTTCTCATTTTGCTAACTTGCCCTCAAACCTAAAACCTATTCCGGGGCTTTCAACCTCACATATTAAAAAACCCTAATTGAACTCAATCTATTTGTTTATCGTTTCGCATTATCCGAGATTCCCCTAATCTTTTTCACAAGCTACAACGCCACCCCACCATTCATCACTGACCCTTGGATCATCCTTGAGTTTATAACTTTAGTTAGACACTCCAAATAATTCTTCAAGCCCTCACACCCCTTGGCCTCCTAGTTACCCAACTCCTCTCCTTTGTTTGTCCACTTTATAACCATTTGATGATTCCCTCTTCAATCACATACACACATGCACAAACTCAAGAACATCCCCTCTCTAAATCATACACTCAATCAATAGCCTAGATCAGGCTAACTCCAAAAGGGGCTAAAGAGAGTAATATCTTAATTCAAGTCGTCCTTGAAAGATCCTTGCCATACTTCTAAGTTTATTAAACAATATGGAAGATATACAATTGACATATCCATGAGTTATCTTGAGTAGGAAGCCATGTAGGGCGAATTGTATACAAAATCTTTAAAGTGAGGCATTAAATCTCTAGTCCATACTAAGAAATAAGCAAAATCAAAGTAGATTTTATTCTCCTAAACTACGCTCGATGTATTGATAGCTAAAGTAGTGAAAGAGATAGAGGCTCCATTGGAGATTTTTGTAGCCTTATATTGGTTTTATTTAGCAAAATCACAATCGATCTAAAGTCAAATTATAAAAAAAATATAAAGTATACTATGTTTCAATTAAAATTCACCTTCAATTGCTATCATAATTAAACCATAAATAGAGGAAAAATCATTTTATCATTGGATCATCATAGGCAAGGAGTCTTATAAAATAATTTGAATATAAGATGCTTGTAAAAAAAACTATATATCATTCTTTTAATTTTGATGATTCAAACTAAATTGCAAAAGTTCCATTCAAAGAACTTTGTTTTCCATTTCATTATTAAATTCAACTCAAGATAGACCTCATTAAGGCTTAGGGTTAATTTGATAAGCTTCAAATCTTCATTAAATAGATTTAGAAATTATTTTATCAAATATTATACATTTTTTTCTAAGGTTAACAAAATTTGAAGTTATATCTTAATTTTGTGTGAATCAAATCATAAATTTAAACATTGTGTATATGAGTTTTAAATCCAAAATCAATTGGTTTCAAGGTTGAGCTCCCAACTAACACGCTAAAATGAGCAAGTAAAAATTAGAAATTAGATAAAAATTATTCGAAGTTTGAATTTTATAAAATAGTACGATTTATTGGACACATATCTTTGCCTCAAATTTTAAAATTATTTATAAGAATTATTATTTTTTAAATCTTAAAGACAATCTAAATGGGAGAAATTATATATAATGTTTAAGATAGATTCAAAATATGAGATAAAATTAGTACACTTAAAACTATTTGATAATATGCACAATTCCACATCACTCAGCTACTTAATAAAATAGTATAATTTATCAGTGCAAAAATTAAATAGAGTGCATTACATATTTGGAGTTGAAAGAATTAGTGTTGACATGTTTGTTTGGCCGCCAGGATCATAATCGGTGAGCGAAGCAGGGTAGAAGGACCATAATTAGACAACGAAAGCAAGAAAGGCAATAGTTGGAGGGTGACGGAGTTTGAAAAGGCTGTAGTCGGGTGACAGTGGTAAGAAGGAACGTAGTTGGGGGCGATAAAAGTTAAAAAGATTGTAGTTGGGTGACGATGATCAGAAGGACTATAGTCAGGTGACAGAGATTAGAAAGACCATAATTGGTAGGCAACTGAGGTCGAAAAGATCGTAGTCGCGTGACGGTGCTTGGAAGGATCGTGGTTGAATGAAAGGTGGTTGAAAAGATCATAATTGGAGGGTGACTAAGGTAAAAAAGATCATAGTTGGGTAACAGCTGGAGGCCATGGGGAAGTCTTACTACTGTTAGTGACCGGGCATAAATATGACATTAGTTGATGATCGAGTGAAAGTCTAGTGACAGTTAGTGGTCAGGAAGAAGTCCGACAATAGTTGGTGGCCGTGCGTAAATTTGATGTTAGTTGGTGTCTGAGCGGAAGTCTGGTGATAGGTGATGGTTAAGCTTAAGTTCGATGACAGTTGATGGTTGCACAGAAGTCTGATGAAAGTCCAGTAACAGTCGGTAATCCGATAGCGTCGAGGAGTTTAGTGGCTAGAAAATTCTCCGATTTCTCTTCCTTCCTTCCTTGCTCCTCTTCTTTCATTGGAGAATGAGAAGTTTATTTATATTTTTTTGGGAGTGACATAGCTAGTAAATAAGAAAAAGATCAAGAGCATGCAGAGAATGTTTCAAATATATGGTTGATATGGACTCCTTTGATCATGAACCATTTATCGAGTATTTATGTACCTTAATGATGTCAAAATTCGATGATCTTGGCCTCATTGGATTCTTCTTATTGAGCCGCTTTATTAGACTATAAGCATGTCACTTTTAAAAATCATTTAATTGCCCAATTTAATGTTTGAACCTTCCAAATGTGCTTCAGGTCTTTGATTTGAATCCATTTGGCATCGGATTGGGTCAAATTTTGTGTCGTTTGGTTCGTCTTTTTAAGACGTTCAATTTGACTATAACTTTGTTGAAATTGGAGCTCAAATGGTCCCGAGTTTAAATTACAAAGTTTTCAATGTGAATTTATCTCGGAATTCGTGCTCGATCAAGATAATTTTTAGACAATATATCTAAATTATTATTTAAAATAATATTATGACGAGGAGCATGTTATAGGTGCTCTAATAGAAAGGTTATATTTCCTCATTATTTTAAACTTCCCTAATCTTTTCGACACACCCCACCATTCATCACTGACCCTTAGATCATCTTTTTCCCCACTTTGAGCAAATCGAAGTTCGAGTCGATAACTTCACTTACGCTCCTCGTTAAATGTCAAACTAATTCTTACCTATGAAAAATATTTTTTTTTGGGTCCCCAATAATACATAAAAGACTTCTTTTTTGAACATTTAGGCTAATTAGGGAAAACACACACATCATAAAAGCAAGATTCGAACTCATGATCTTTTAATTAGTAAATAAAGCTTCCAACCAACAAACCAAATTGAGTTACAAAAAATTATAATTATAACTATTCATTAAATTAGTCTATCTATAAATTCCCCCAATCCCTTCCACAAGCCACCTTTCTCGCAAAAACAGAAATCAAACTTTTCCGATATGAAACATCTGATTGCAGACCTTCCAGAAGAAATCGGCTTGGAGTGCCGTATTTGAGTCCTCCACGGAACCCTTCCTCTTCTCCGACGAGTCTGTTGCCGATGGAAACAAGCAATCGAAGCATTCCTCCTTCACTGCCTTCGTAGGTCCACTAGTTTCTCCGACCACCTCATCATCTTCTTATAGTCTCACCATACCCTCTCCGCCACAGGTAGACCCTCCCTCCCCTTCCCTACAATCTTTTTCTTATGGCGGATTTAATAGTTTTCCGACGTATTTTTGGTGAATTTTTTTTTGCCGGTAAAGAAAAAAATTTCGGAGAACAAAATTCGCCTTAAACATTTTTCCGGCGGAATTTAGCCTCCGGTAATTTCTCCGACGGCTGTTCGACAGAAAAATGCCGCCGAAATAAAAAAATTAAAAAAATAGCTTAATTCCACGCCCAAACCCGAACCCGCCCCCCACCATTGACGACGAGGTGGAGGCAGGAGGAAAAGACACAAAAGAAAAAGGGGTGGTCGAGGGAGACTAAAGGGATTGGTCGGAGGGAAGCCCACTCACCGGTAGACAGGTTGAGTGCAACGAGACGACAATAGGGGTGGGAGGAAAAAAACCTGAGGGAGCATCTAACTGCGTAGTGGGCCTCTATGAAGATGATGAGATGGTGGGAGGAACCGGCGAAGCGACATAGGTGGTGAAAGAAGGGGGATTCAGTTGCTTGTTTCCTCCGGCAGACTTGTTGGAGAAGAGGGAGGGTTTTGTGGGGGGCTCGAATAAGGCACTCCAAGCCTATTTCTTCTGGAAGGCCTGGTATTAGATCTTCCATATCAGGGAAATTCATTTTCTTTCTTCGATAAAGGTGAAGAATTTTGAGAAGATTTATAGTTTTGGATGAGTTAAGCGATGCATCTTAAATTTAATATTTTTTTTTCTAGTTAGAGAATCTTAATTTTCTTTGAAAAAAAATTGGAAAATATTTTTTTGAAGGTGTGGATTTCGAAGAGAGATAAAAGAGGCAGAAATACATCATTAGTTGAAGATAGAAAATTTGTCATCCCTTCTCTTTATGTGGTCTCCATTATCCTCTCTTTTTAGAGGCCCTAATTTAAGAGGAATCTCCTCTCACTCTTTTGTAATCTAGACAAATATTATTGAGATAACCTACTTTGGAGAGCATTAAAATGTCATAAATTTGTCATCCATTATCTTTATGTCATAAATTTGGGATATCTTTCTTATTGCTTTATTTTTCAAATTGCAATTATAACTTTTTGTAGACAGTTTTTTCAGTTGCTTTCGAAAAATTTGTACTAAAGAAATGCTTTCTATATCTTTAAGAAATTAATGTATCTATAGTTGTTTTATAAAGCAATAAGAACGCTAATATTGTTCATTAAAATTTTTTTTATCAAAATTATTTAATTTTCGAAAAAAATTGACCACTCTTATTTAAGTAACACCTCAAATTGTATATTTACATTATTCACATTATTAATAAATAAGCCGTTACATTCACATAAAAGTATGGTCCACAAATACATTTCCAACGACGTTTTTACTGGTTTTCGCAGTCTTCATATTAAACTTTTTTATATATATATAATTTTCATTTCTTGTATAAATGCTTTGGAAAGCAAGTCCATATGATAAGGCAGATAAATATAGATCTTCAAGAAACAATAGCCACCAAATCTAGCATTTCCTATAAGAAATTCAGGAACCAAGACACATATTTAAATTACCTTAAATTTTTAGTACCAAATTTCAAGCAAAAAACACCATAGCTTGCAATCGCCTCAGGACGAGTATTCTTAAATGTTTTTTTTAGTTGAAGCTGTTTGTTTACTGGCTAATTCCCTGAGAAGCTCCCCGTCCTGAGGTGATTGCAAGCTATGGTGTTTTTTGCTGGAAATTTGGTACTGGAAATTTAAGATAATTTAAATATCTGTCTTGGTTCCTGAATTTCTTATAGGAAATGCTAGATTTGGTGGCTATTGCTTCTTGAAGATCTATATTTATCTGCTTTATCGTACTTTTATTAGGATAAAAAAATTGTTGCATCTTGGAACATCCATGGGGGTAAAAAAAATATAAAGTTTAGGAACCTAGCCTTGTACGAAAATCTAGCACGCAAACAAATGAAGGATATAGGTGTACAACGTTCATATGAGACATCAGAGTTTTTACGTGGAAACTCCTAATAGGGGAAAAACTCACGGGAGTTTAATTGAATCCATTAGTATTTGTAATTGATTACAAATGAAGCCCTTCCTTGGGGCAAAGGCCTTGGCTTGATGTAGCAAGTATATATCATATCGAGTATATTAAATGGTGGGAGTTGGAAGGATCAGAGTTGACATGTTCGTTTGGTTGGAAGGATCATAGTAGACGAGCAATGCAGGTCGAAAGGACTATAATCGGGCGACAGTGGTTGGCTGGTGATGGTGGTTGGAAGGATCATAATTGACAAGAAACATAGGTCGGAAAGATCATGGTCGGGTAACGATGGCAAGAAGGATCGCAGTCGGGTGATGGTGGTCGGAAAGACTGTAGTCGAGCGATGGTAGTCCGAAGGACCGTGGTTGACGGGCGATAGAGGTTGAAAAGACTATTGTCGTGTGATAGTGGTCGGAAGGACCGTAGTCAGCAGGAAAATGAGTTCGGAAAGGCTATAGTAAGGCAAAGATGGTCAGAAGGATCGTAATCGGTGGTCGATGAAGGTCAGAAAGACCATAGTTAGGTGACAGTGGTTGGAAGAACTATAGTCGGCAGGCGACGAAGGTCGGCGAGACCATAGTCGGCAGCGATGAGGTTAGAAAGACTGTAATTCGAAGATATTGAGAGATCGTACTCAAGTGACGATGGTCGAAAAGACCATAATCAATTGGCGATAGAGGTCGGGGAGATTGTAGTTGGCAAGCGATAAAGGTCAAAGAGGCCATAGTCGGCAGGATATAGAGGTTGGAAAGATCGTACACTAGAGACAGTGGTCAGAGAGACCGTAATTAGTGGAAGATGGAGGTCAGGGAGACCACAGTCAGGCAATAGTGGTTAAAAGGATTGTAGTCGACAGGTGACGGTGGTTAGAAGAATCATAATTGGCAGACGATGTTAGTGTCTAGGCAGAATTTCGATGACGGTTGGTGGTCTGGTGAAAGTTCGATGAAGGTCGGTGACTACGCAGAAGTTGGAGGCTAGGAAAAAGTCCGACGAAATCCAACAACAGTCGGAGGCCGGACGGTGGACAAGGAAAAGCTTGGCGGCAATAGAGATCTCAGATTTCATCATTTCTTCTCTTCTTTTCTCCCACTCCTATGAACAATGAGGAGGTTATTTATAATTTTTTGGGAATGACATGTCCAACCAATAGGAAGAAGATCAAGGGCTTGTTGGGAGTGTTTTGAATGGACAACATATATCAACTCGCTTGATCATAGATCATTTATTGAGTATTTAAGTGTCATAATGATGTTAGAATTCACTGATCTTGGGCTCGTTGGATTCCTCTCATCGCGCCGCTCGATGTGACTAGAAGCATGTCATATTTGAATGTCATTTTGTCATCCAATTTATGCTTTAAACCCTCGATTTGGGCCATTTAGGCTTGGATCAAATTCAATTTTGTTTCGTTAGGTTCGCCTTTTCAAGACATTCAGTTCAAATATACATTTGCTTAAATCAGAGTTCGGATCAACTAGAATTTGCCTTGAGATTCGTGCTTGATTGAGAATTTTTTTTATCATAAATCAAATTTATTTTTGTACAAGTTGAGTATGATTGAGATGAATTGATATTGTAGAAATTATGATTAAGAAGATTTTATTTGGTTAATAACCTCAAGGGGAGTATCATGTTGATGTTGAGAAATTATTACATGTTGTAATTTTTTTAATTAAAATTTTATGTTATAATTTTTTTAGAGACTTAATATATCTTTGATCTCAAAAAAATTAAGGCAATTACTAAGTTACGAGAAAATACATTCTATTTAGCACGATTTTCAATACAATTCCCATTTTGTGATAACAAAGTAAGTTTATGAGATTACCTCTCTTCATGGAGAAGATTTAATAATATGCATTATAACAAATTTATAATGAGAATAATATTAAATATAACATATAAATTTATAATAATAAAAATTTGTATTTATAATATACATTATAATAAATTTATAAAATACAAATTTATTATACAATTTTAAAAACTTTGTACGCCAAGCAACCTAAATTTGCGGCCCAAGTAGCCAAAATTCGGGGCCCAATAAAATCTAAACTCACATTCAAGCTCATATAGTATTCATGCAACTTTTTTAGTCCCACATCATAAGGGAGTTTGAGATGGTTGTCTGTTAGCTCTTTATATTGTGTAAATTACACATTTTTTTAACAAAACATATTTTGTTAAATGACCTCCACATATTATAGTGTAATAATCTTAATATTTAATATAAAAAAGTTTATAGAACCGATCAGTTCTTTCCAACTCAGATATATATATTCCTCGTTAATTGTCAAATTAATTCTTATCTATGAAAAATATTTTTTGTTAGGGTCCTCATTAATACATAAAAGACTTTTTTTTAGACATTTAGGCTAATTAGGAAAAGCACACACATCATAAAAGCAAGATTCGAACTCATGATCTCTTGATTAGTAAATAAAACTTCCAACCAACAGATCAAATTGGTTGCGAAAAATTTTTTAATTATAAATATTCATTAAATTAGTCTATCTATAAATTCCCCCAATCCCTTCCACAAGCCACCTTTCTCGCAAAAACAGAAATCAAACTTTTCCGATATGAAACATCTGATTCCAGACCTTCCAGAAGAAATCGACTTGGAGTGCCGTATTTGAGTCCTCCACGGAACCCTCCCTCTTCTCCTACGAGTCTGCTGCCGATGGAAACAAGCAATCGAAGCCTCCCTCCTTTACTACCTTCGTCGGTCCACTAGTTTCTCCGACCACCTCATCATCTTCTTACAGGCTCACCGTAACCTCTCTGCCACAGGTAGACCCTTCCTCCCCTCCTACAATCTCGCTGCCCTCCACCAGTCCTCAACTAAGTGGGCTCCTTTCCCTACAATCCTTTCTTCCCCTAAAGCCTCCCACGTTCTGCACCCTCGATGCCTTCGACGACCACCTCGTCTTCTTTGGCGGATCTGAAATGTTAACTTGCTCCGAAGCTGTTTATGCCCACAACTTCCTCTTCGCCACCTCAAGCGGTGGTCGCCCCATACTAGGCCCCAACCGTTCATTCTTCGCCTACACCACCAGCCCAAGCAACTAAGTTTTCGTTGTTGGAGGTGACAACGAGGAAAAGGACTCGCTGACAACGAAAACAAAAATCATCATGATTTTAAGATTTACATACAGATATCATTAAGCACGTCACTTTATAGATTATATACATCAACACAACAAGCACTATGAAAAAAGCAGGAATTTTTCTTCGGAATCACAAACCTCCGCCACGCAATCGCCACCCCCTGCTTCATCTCCAACACATATGCCGCCAGAGGCCAGCCGGAACCCCCCATCCCCATCACCATCAATCCTTCACCCCAAGCCACCATCTTTGGAGCAACTTTTACATGCTCCGACAACTCTGCCACCACCCTCCACTCGTCCGTTTCCTTGACCATCATCATCTTCCCTCCTCCGTCACATACATAGATTCTCCCATCTCCTCCCACCACGCAGGTCTTTGAACACGCTCCCTCCGGTACCGCCTCTTCCTCCACGGGCAGCCAACGCCATTCTCCTACATCAAATGCCTCCGCACTCCACTCGAATCTCCCCTACATAGAGGTACAATTGTTGGAAGAAATTGGAGAAATTGGAGAAAAACAAAGACAAGGAAAATGTTTCGCGTAACAGAGAAAAGCAGAAAAAAATATCTCACAGACAGTTTTTTTTTTCTTCACTCATTAACACACACGGGACAATGGTTTTTAAAGAAAATTAAAACAAAACAAACCGACATAGCAAGCAACGGTTCACTAGCACCGTTTGGGTTTAATTAAAAATATAATAAACTAATTTTGCATTAATTCAAACAACAATAACCGCTAACCACCTGGAACTGCCCCTCCTTATTTTTTTCAAACACACTCATGCACTCGTCTCGCTCTCTCTCCATCTCTGGTAGTATTGTTCAATCATTTTTGACAATATCATAAACCATCGCTGATTTCAGGGCATTTTTTCCTTGTCGTGGCCTCCGACGATGAATACTTGGTTTCTTGGGTTAGCGGCACAAGCGAAGAAGGAACGGGTTGGGCATGGCATGGGCCGGCCATGGCTCCTGGTGGCGTAGAGGAAGTTGTAGACATAGATGAAATTAAAGCAAGTTAAGGTCTCGGGGTCCCAGCCGCCGAAGACGACGACATGGACGCCGGAGGCAGTGAGGGTGCATAAAAGGGGGAGGCTTTGAGGGAACAAGGGGATTGTAGGGAAGAGATCCCACTTACCGGAGGAGGGCAGCGAGACGGTAGGAGGGGTGGGATTGTCTACCTGCGGCGGAGATGGCACGTTGGGCTTATAAGAAATGATGAGATGGTCGGAGGAATTGGCGGATCGACGGAGGCGGTGAAAGAGGGGAGACTCAATTGCTTGTTTTCATCGGTAGCATACTCCGGAGATGGCAGGGTGGGCTTTTAAGAAAATGATGAGATGGTCGGAGGAACTGGCGGATCGACGGAGGCGGTGAAAGAGGGGAGACTCGGTTGCTTGTTTCCATCGGCAGCATACTCGTCAAAGAATAGGGAGAGTTTCATGGGAGACTCGTATGCGGCACTCCCAGCCCATTTCTTCTGGGAGCTCTAGAATCATTTGAAGGGTGGCACTGGCTTGTGGAAGGGATTGGGGGGTTATATACATTTCCAATGGCCAACTTATTACTGGTTTTTAGCATGATATTACCTAATTTACTCTGAAATGAGATCAGTTATTTCTGGTAGAAGATTCTTAATGTTAGAAATATTTTTATTAAGTGTCCCACAACTTTCACTTAAATTTTAATTATGATTTAATAATTAATTATCTAACTAAATCACGTCGGTCAAAAGACAGAATTCATTAAACATTTATGAATCATTTAATTAAATAATCGGATTAGTAACCACCGGATTTCAGGACTCTATCCCATTGAGTATTAATTTTCTCCCAAAGAAACTAACTACAACAAGAAAAAGAAAAGGGAAAGGGGGAGAAACGTATTTTCTCAAAATTTTCAATTAAATTTCATGAAGGAGATCGTTATGAATAACTTGGATATACAATTTTATGTAGAAAAATAAAGTTTGACTTGCATAATTAAGAAAAATCTTTCATGAATGGAGAAAATTCTCAAGACTAAGCCTATAAGCTATTCTTTTCATGGTTTAATTAAGGAGGAAACACATGAACCTTTTCTCATATTAGTGCATAATCCAAGCTCCTTTTTTTCTGGTAAAGAAATAATTTATAGTATAGAGGCTAATGTGTCTAATATAAATATATGTTACGTGTGTGTCAGCCGAGCACGTCATATAAAGCCCCGACGTGCGCTATCCCATTTTTAGCATTATTCCCAAAATACCCATGGCCTTGCCCACCAACTAGAAATATATATTCATTATTAATCCTTAAAATTTATAATAGACAAGAATTCCTCGCGCATTTGGTTTCGCCGCCAGCTACTCAAAACCCCAGCGGTGGTTGCCGCCATCATCGATCACTTGCCACCGACAAAGCCGTGTGATTCAGATCGTTTATCCTCCTTTCCCATTCGCATGGTTGGTTAGTCTTCGATGGTCTCAGCATGGCGGTTGCTGCGCCTCAGCGAGGGTATAAAACCGGCGTCCTCCGCTGTTGAGGCGTCGATCCCATGGAATCTCAAGACGACGGTATGGTCTCCGGCTCTGTCACGGCGATGGAGGACGCCGGTTTAATGATAGGAACATCGAGTTTCATTTTGTCGGCGGCCTCCCGAAGGTGCCCCATGAGCTTCTCCCGGAACTCCGCCAACCCACCATCCTCGTCGATGTAGCCAATCTTCGGAGCCCCTATCCTCGAGAATCGCCGGGAACAATCCCTCGCCGGCGACAGCAACGCCGATCTATGCTCTCCGGCTACCCCCTCTCCTCTACCATCTACGCCGTCGTACCGTATATGCCTCTGGCTTCTCCAAGACTTCAGAACCGGCGAGGAGAAATCGCGATGCAGAAGGTTAGATTGGGACTTCCCTCACTGAGGCGCAGCAGCCACCATGCCGAGACCATCGAAGACAAACCAACCATGCGAAGGGGAAAGGAGGATAAGCGATCTGAATCACACGGCTTTGTCGGTGGCAAGTGATCGGTGACGGCGGCAACCACCGCTGGGGTTTTGAGTAGCCGGCGGCGAAACCGAATGCGCGAGGAATTCTTGTCTATTATAAATTTTAAGGATTAATAATGAATATATATATTTCTTGTTGGTGGGCAAGGCCATGGGTATTTTGGGAATAACGCTAAAACTGGGATAGCGCGCGTCGGGGCTTTATATGACGTGCTCGGCTAACACAGCGAGGTGCGACGGGTAATCGGCGGTTCGGTGGTCGGAGAGAATTTTTTTTTTTTTTTTTTTTAACATCGGCGCACCCATTTGTCGAGCGACAAATTTGGTCCAAGCGATGACGGTGTGGGTGGGGTTGTGGGTGCGAGATTGGTTCGTTTGAGAACTTTTCCATCATGAGGCCGTAACTCCGTTTGTTTTGCCTCGTTGTGAATGTGCTGGCGCTGGTCACGTGTCGAGTGTCGAGCGCCTGACGTGATTTTTAAGGTTTGTACCAGTTGTTACTATAATAGGAGTACAATAAATTTTGCTATGAAATTATTTTTATTGATTAGCTCTGTTGCCATTCATTGCTGCCCTGGTTTCAAGATTATGCAATTTATGTTTTCAATCTCCTAAAACTTATTCTCACTTATTTTTTGAATGCGACTTTTCTTTAGGCATCAGCTACCTGCTTGCTAAGGGCTAATTTGCTCCAACTGTCTGACTTTATTTTGAGTTTACAACATCCCAATCATGCTTATAAATAACTGTACAGTTTAATCATATGTTGTTCTATTTACCACATTTGATAAGAAAGAAATGAGAGTAAAAATTACAAGCAATTTACTCAAAATTACAAAAGCAGAACACATTCATTAATTTATTCTTCGTAGGCAAATACATCATTTCTTATATCCTCAAAACAAAATCAAAATTCAGAATCAAAACTACATTAACAAAACATAGTATCTTTGATCTCACATAATTAGATTAATAAGATTTTACATACACATATCATCTATCATCAAGCACTCCAGATCTAATGTAGTCTATCTTAGATATCAACACAAGCAGTATAAAAACAACCGTGATATTTCTGTTAATGAATAAGGCCACGTCAGCAATTCTTTGTACCTTCTTGAATAAGTTTTATTATAAATACTGTTGTATTAGTTTGTAATAGATATACAATAGAATTTTACTTTCTCTGTTTTTACCGCTGTTGCTTCGTTCTTCTTTCTCCCTGTTCTTCCCATCTCGGGTTCAAGAACTCATCAATTTCCTCGGAAATGCCACCTTCCGCCACCCAATCGCCACCCCTTGCTTCATCTCCAACACAAACACCGATAAAAGCCAGTTGCAACACTTCACCCTCAGCACCAACAATCTTCTACCCAAGCCACCATTATTAGAGAACCTTTGACGCCCTCAGGCAACTTTGCCACCACCCTTCACTCCTCCCCTTCCTTGACCAGCAACATCTTCCCTCCTCTGTCGCATTTATACATTCTCCCATCTCCTCCCATCATACAGGTCTTCGAAAACTCTTCCGCTTGCGTCGCCTCCTCCCATACTGCCCATCACCGCCATTCTCCTACAACAAATGCCTCTGTGCTCTACTCGAATATCTCCTGCATTGAACATCCAAACACCTAGAATAGTCCCTCTTAAAATGCTCCCATACAGTCCTAATGCTCTCTCTCCATCTCCGGCAACATCATCGAGTTGTCTTTGATAATATTGTAAATCATCACTGATTTTAGAGTGTTCGATCTTCTGCTTGTCGTGGCCTCCGGTGATGAATGTTTGGTTGCTTGGGCTGCCAGTTCATGCGAATGAAAATCAGGTGGGGGTTGGCATTGATCGTCTGTGGTGCCAGGAGGTGGGGAGGATGCTGTAAATGTAGACATCGCCATTGTAATTTAAGGAGTTTGGGTCTCAACCACTAATGAAAACGAGGTGGAGGCCGGAGGTAACGACACTTAAGAAAATGGGGGACAAAGGGGATTGGCGAGAGGGGAGTCCACTCACCGGTGGACTGGTTAAGAGCAGTGAAATGCAAAAGGGGTGGGAGGAGAAGAACATGAGGGAGCATTTGGTTACGGAGGAGGGTGCGGGGTGGGCCTCTAAGAAGATGATGAGATGGTGGGAGGAACTAGCAGAGCGACGGAGGTGGTAAAAGTGGGAGGATTCAGTTGCTTGTTTCCACCGATGGCAGACTCGCCGGAGAAGATGGAGGGTTTCGTGGGGGACTCGGATAAGGCGCTCCAAGCCTAGTTCTTCTGAAAGGCCTGAAATTAGATCTTCCATATTGAAGAAACTTATTTTCTATTTTCGATAAAGATTAAAATTTTTTGGGAGATTTATAGTTTTGGAGGGGTTAAGGGATGCATATTAAATTTAATATTTTTTTCTAATTAAAGACTCTTAATTTTGGTTGGAAATAAATCAAGAAAATATTTTTTGAATGTGTGGATTTTGAAGAGAGATAAAAGAGGTATATGATTAGTTGAAAAAAGAAATAAAAATTTGTGGTTGTGTTGGATTGTTCACACCTTATATAAAATAGAACGGAGGTAAATTTTGGAAAAGCATTAAAATGTTATAAATTTACCATCCCTTTTCTTTATGTGGCTCTCCATTATCCTCTCTTTTGGGAGGCCCTAATCTAGGAATTTTTATTGCCTCAGGTTACCTGACGTAGAGAACTAGAGATACATCAGGTAGCCTATAATATATCGCCACGTGCTCTTACTCTTTACCGTGCGGCCCGACGACCCAACCCGGAACGAATATGCTCGGTATTTGCTCGGGCGGAACCTCCTCTCAATCTTTTATAATCTAGACAAATATTATTGAAATTGCTTACTTTACAATATGCACATATGAACTAACTTCTTTTTTTTTTTATGTAAGTTTCTTTAATTTATATGAGATATCGTTATTAAAACTTATTGATGATAAATTTTAAAATTATTAAAAAAAAATAGTGCATATTATAACCACAAACTTTCATACAAAGACTCTAACTCTTAACTTTATGTAGGAATTAAGTGTTACACTCCTAACCAATAGACAAAAATATATCCTAAATTATTGAATTTAGTTTTATTTAATTTCTTCAATTTTTTTGTTGAGAACAAGACAAATCACATAACTAAAAATGATTACCTAAGGGTATTATGTAAAAATATATATTAAAATAAATTTCAAACATTTTGAATTTATATTGAGATAATATATTTTAAAATATTATATAATATTAATTTTGATACAATTTTAAATTTTAAAAATTCATCATAATATATTTTATATTAAGATATTACAAGCAATTTACTCAAAATTACAAAAGCATATCACATTCTTATAATTAAAGCTTTGCTAGGGATATCTTTTTTTACTGCTTTCTAAATTCTGTTTGAAAAAGTATTTTTAAAATAATAAGAAAACTATCACAAATGAAGCCTAAATTTCTCTT